AATATTGATTTCCTGTGTCGGCAAAGAGAGAGATACTCTGTTTTCTATCTAATAATCATTTGCATGCTTCATGATTATGTCAGTTAATTCCATGACCAACTTCTCTACGGAGATTGCGCGGTGGCGAAGCTTGATAGTCAACTCAGACAGTTCATCTTGTGATGCACGTCAAATCGACTTGGGGAAGAACAAATCAAATGAAGTACTTGAGTACTGCTCTAATATAATATAATATAATATGATAAGAGAATATATATTTCTTTCAACAGTAATTCAGTACTGCTATAATATAATATAATAATAGAATATATATTTCCTTTAACATTGTTGGATATCATAATGCTCGTGATTAATCATAATTGAAATCTGCTTGATCCTCGGGCTTTTCATCAGCAATGGAGGTATGTTCACCCTTTTCTTTTTCGACTTGTATCTTTGAGTATTTCGACCAAATAATTTCCAACAGGAGAATCCCGAATGTCAAAATCATTCCATAGCCTATAGTGAGATAAGCGGCGTAACATTCAATGGTGCCGACGCCAACGAATTTCTTCTGATTGTTACATAGGGGCTTCCCATTGCACAATATATTGATATAGCGTTGTCGTAAACCCGTTTCCTTCAGCCAGAGACCCCTGCAGTATTTTATTATATATATTTTCTATAACAACAGAATATTTTCATGGTGATTTCAAAAACGGATTTACCCCACTCTGAGAATTTCCCGATACGGTGATTTGCGCCGGATAGCGAATTGCGGATCAGACACGTAGAGATAATCAATTTCCTCAAAGCCGCATTTCTCGTCCTCGCCGAAGGTGCTTTGAACAAGACCATAGCCCATCGTGACATCTGTGTGAAAAGCGAACAAATCATTCCTCACCCTGTGGATTCCTTCCTCCAGAGACATCCAGATGTTCTTCTGCCCCTTAATGCGACGCTCGTAGAACTCCTTCCTCATGGGATCCTCGAAGCTCTATTTTCAGAATGATCACCAGTTATAAGGGCAAGGAGATAACTTTCTGATTTCTCACCCCCAGGTAATAATGATTATAGACAATATCTAGGACTCCAATCTTCAGAGGACTATTCATGAGATCTTCTACTGTCTTTATGCAGTCTGATGTGGACTGCAGCAGTGCCACGATGTTGGCTGCATAAGCAGCGTAGAGACTTAGACAAAAGACCAAAAGCATCAGAATGACTATCCGTGCTGGGACACTCCGTGGCTCATATGCAGACCCTGAAAGAATTACATAAATTAAACATGGAATGACCAAGAGGAATCCTCACCTTGCTGGGTGATAGCCCCAATCAGAATCAGGAAATTATCGCCAAAAGCTGGCTTCATCTCCAAATCTCCCCACAATTTTTGATCCGTAGGTATGTCCTTCACTTCTTGCCACTCCCATGCCATGCTCAGGTATAATATTACAAAACCAATGCAGCTGAAGACAGCTATTCCGATCCAGACACTCCGACTGAAGGGTAGAGTGAAGAGATTGCTAATGTGAGATAGTGGAGGCTGTCGAAAGATGAATCTCACTCTAGGAAACAAAAGAAACATTTCCTTCATGGAGAATCTTCAAGAGTTGCTTGCTATTCAAAAAGTGGGTACCTATTTGGAGTATATAGCTGGATATAATCGACTAGACCGAGCCTGGCGGGAGTAAGGAACGTAGCTGTACCGCCGAAATCAACTTCTTCACGAATAATTTGCCCGATCATTCCGCTCCAGCTTCCGTTCTTGTCTTGATAGCCCCAGGTTGGAGCGAAATTGAAAGCAACTCTGAAGATTAAACCAGTGTTGGTCAACTTATTAATTCTTAAACGATTTAGGAAGGTAGTCCTTATTTACCCTCTTCTGCAGTGGTGGTAGGGGTGCGATGAGTCGAGGAAACAGCAAAGAGGAAACAGGAGGGGTCAGCCAATCACTTTTTTAATTGATCAATTAAAGAAATGATTGACTGAACACCCTCCTTCCTCCCCAGCCCACACTCCTCGCCTCTCTTCCATCACCACTGCAGGACAGGGCATATAAGGACTACCCTCAGATATCGGAGCTCAGAATCGGAGCTCAGCTCAAGGAGCAAATTGCAATGTTTGCGAAACTTGGAAATGCTCAAATTAAACGCGGCATCCATCCGAAAGCCAACTATAATAATAATCATGGCCGTGAAAGCCTCAAAAGTGAATTTAGGAAGGCATTTACGTTGTATTCATTCGAGCCACAAGCAGCTTCGAAAGGAGATATCCGACTTTCGAGATAACATCAACGTTCTTGCCCTTGAGGTCTTCCAGGTGATTCATTGTGTCTGGATTGGTCATCTGGAAGAAGTGAGATGATTTGACGTGATTGCTGTCATCATTACTGACGGGAGGTGATGGAATCTCACCACAGCGCACGCCTTCATCGGAGTTTGTTGAACATCCGTTCTACGTCTAGATGATACATGATAATTCCGAAATTGGATTCCACTACGACTTGCCCAGGTGCCTCTGTCTTCGATGATGATACGCCGGAAAAGACTAGGACGATATGGAGATAGCAATTTGATGATATTGCCCTCCAGTCTTTGACCTACAATGATTTCACTGTCCGGGAAGATATGGAAATCTTGGAAAATCCGCCGAAGTCCATCTTCATTGGACTCTGCTAGATCAAGACTTCCGTTGAACATTGAATTCGCAGTTGCTCGTAAATCTTGAAGGATCAACCACTTTGTTGGAGCAATGAAATTCCCCGTTTCATTCGCCTAGAAATAACCATTGGGTTCATGTGAATTTCAATAATTCTGATGCCATTACCTGAATCAGGAGTTCATAAGCTCCGGCGCAGTCCAAATCGACAACGTAGAAGTTCCGGTGAGCCAATGGAGAATTGACAAAGTCGAATCTGTACTCTCCAAAGATAGGGGAGGCTTCATGGAGCTTTTGGTTTTTCGACATGAATCTGGAAAGTTCAGCAACCTCGGCTAGAACAAAGGATTATATAAACCAATACTATTTTTCAATGTATCAACTTGAACTTAGTGTTCACCTGGTTCTGCACAATGAAATAGACTGAAACTAGAAGTTGGATAGAAAGAGTTAGTCACGTCGAGGATAAAAGTCTGAACTATCTCGTCTATTTTGCGATCAGCACTGACTCTAATACTCAATATAAGAATCCCAATGAAGTTCTTTATGAACATCTTGAAAGAAATTGATGAGCGATGCTCTATAACTCAATTGATGTCAACTTCTGGCTTTGCATTTTGTAGATTGGAGATTTGGAGACTAGTAGATAGATTTGTTTGAAGTTCTAGGTTTTAGGACGAGTGATCACGAAAAGCACTGGCCAGAGACCGCGAGAATTCTTGAAGGAACTAGCACAACTCTCTAACTGTCCAAACGTGTTGAAGAAGTCTTCGATGTTGGACCGATCCCATTCATCTGCGACTTTATTCAGGAATTGGCAAGTAAGCCCTGCAGTCGCAGAAAACGACAATTACCAGCAGCCAACAATCAAATCCCTCTGAAATTCAGGCACGACATGCAGTCTTGGAAAATGCATGAAATAATGCATCTCTAACGATAATGACAGCTTAGGAATATGGAGTTATTGATTGCTGAGTTCCTATAGCTGATATTCGGGGCTTGCAGAGATTCGCTTTGCAGTGATGAAGCATTCGTTGTCCATCAAGCTATAGGCAATCCTTTTCTATCAATCCCTTAGATTTATCTGATTAATTTGAGATTTGACATTGAAGATCATTGATCAAACGATTTCTGAAAACCAATTATATTTTCAATTACCGACTCTGTTAATGTTTCTGCTGAGCAATCACTTGATTCCACTCTAAACAAAGAAATAATGCTCGATAAGCCACAGATAAGGATACCTTTCACGTGTTGAAGATAACCCACGTGATTTCCTGAAATTCACGTGCCTCTGATTACTCACCTGATACAGCAAGTGATTTCATATTTTCCTACCTCGCACTGCAACTCGCTTTGAGTCTCGTCGGCCCAGAATTATCATCGCGTCTTCAAATCCCTAAAGCCCCGCGTGCTCCGGCATCCTCATTTACACTCATGACGCATGTGAAACGAAAAGTATGGTCGTTTATTAATTCTCGTGATTCTAAATTACATCGCAATGAGGGCTTATCGCTCGATTGAGGAGAGATTAGATTAATTTCAGGTTTGATGTGTGTAAAAATGTTGCTCAGGGGATTTGAATTTTCATAATCAGTGATAGACGGAACGATTGCAGAATGTGGGGTACCAATTGAGTGTATCATGATGAAACGACGATAAGTGATGATTAATCAGGTGGAGAGGGATGAGTGAGTCTATTTATTGTTCTATTGTATTCGAAATTTTCAAACAAGAGAGCAGGAATACTCGGCTTTCGTGGAATTTCCCCAATCGATGGATGACAGAGCAAAATTAGCTTGTTGTCATCAGTTGCGCACATCCCCCGTGAACAATCAATGATCGACGCATGGATGAGCGATGTGATACGCTATTTGTAGAGCACGATGGGGATTTTATGAGATCGCTCATGTTTGGATGAGAGTGCCTTATTGAAGATTTCAGTTAATGAGAGGCAGAGAAAATCCATGGGCTTCTGAAAATAGTCGAAAGTAATTTTCCAAGGATTTATCATCAAATGTTGACACTCATATTCTTATCAAATGGGATAATTAATTCATCCGATTTTTTCACTTAATGCGGGACTAATTCAATAAACTATCGCGTTAAGAGCCATCGAGCACTTGACATTAACCGATGATTCCAGTCAAATGATCTTTCCCTGAAGTTGAGGAAAACACTGGTTTCCGGTGAAATATGCTAAACAGGCTTGTCTCAATGTTGCGCAAGAAAATTAAAAATATTTCACCGGCAGGAGCGCTATTTTTCAATTGCTATCTCAGGTACTATCTTTGTGAAGCCAAGAGGGATACGGGGGATTCCCCGGATAATTCAACTGTCTGTCGGTAAAAAATAATCTCCGATTATGAAAAAATGTTCAAGGCAATATTCGGTTCCAATTGAAGTATATCTTATGGTATAGATATGTATTACATATTCATCGTTCTATAAAATACCTTGGCGGGGTGTTGATAAATATCTAATCTATCATCTGGAATTTCCGATGGACTTATCATCCGTTGGATTGGCGGACAATCTAATTGAGGAATTCGGGAAAAGTGGCATTCCATGGAAGTCGAGGATGCAGATCAATCAGAACCGAGACGTCTGGAAAGTGGCAGAACGTCTCGAAGGAATCTTCCTAACGAGTACTTTCGCGTGGTGAAGGCCGAGGCCCCACGAAGGAGACCGGCAATGCACGATGAGGTCGTCGGCCGCGACCGTGATTCAAGTCAGATCATCGCCGTTCAAATTGCGTTGTAATAACTGATTGATTCTCTTTGTCCATGAACGCTAGGTTCCCATGACTGATTATTGATCGTTTTATCATCCGGATGATACCGTGGACACAAGCTGAAATAGCCAGTGGATAAAAGCAGGTCCCTCGTTCCAGCTGGCAACACGAATTTTTTTAATCACTTTTATTGCAGTTTTCCTATTTGCCGAACCACTTCCTGGTTTAATGTCACCCGCAATTTTAATTACAAGGACGGAATTCAGCTGGAGGGAGTTGGTGGGTTAAAGAGGTGATGAATATTTGGTTAGTATTTTTTATATAATCTTCATTTTAACAAAGGAATTGTCAGCTGACCTTTTTTTATCGGTAATTTAATCCGAAACAAAAAATTCCTTTGAAGATTTCACCTTTTATCGATGGTTTTCAAGATAAATCATCGATTAGGGAAAATGGTCAACTTTACTTATCACATTTCTTCGTAGATATTGAGAAAAAACAATCAAGATGTATTTTGGGTTTTTGATAATTCTGAAGAGTTACAGATAATTCGGGAGCTGCAAGTACTTCGAATTATAAACCAGAATTATTGATTATTTTGAGGGTGAAAGTATACTTTAAATGGCACCAATGGCACTCAGTGTTTTCCCCGGACTTTCTTCAGGTTGCGTAATTAATAAATTTGATTATAAAAAATCAAATCAACTTGTATACCTCAAATAAATGTCAATATACTTATGTAATCGCTGATTAGTTGGGGTTTTACCAGAATACGCGGTGAAAAAAAAATAGCAGAGTGCTTGAATAATTAATTAATTTAATTAGTATGCTTAAAATTCAAGTCAATGTCTAATTAAATATGTAGCACAGTGAGGGATTATATATTTTCATTGGGAATTCATGAAAAATGTTACAATTTTTTTTTCAAGGGAATGATACGTGTCAGAGGGAAGATTCTGGTAGCAGGGAGAAGCCGCAAGAAATTCCTAGTGAGCATTCTACTCCAGATAGGGAACACCGGGAGGGGAAATTCGTGTACCCGCGATGCACAGAGGTAGGGGAAACCGAGGATTGGCTCGTGTTCTCGAGGTGTCGAGTGTCTAAAGTGTCGCGACTGGTCTCGAACTCCTACCAGTGACTGAGTGACCACTGAACAAGACTGGTTGCAATAACCAAGTGACCGGAATTCATTTGTTTACATTGTGGAAATTCTAATTTTCACCGATTTTTCACCAGTGGAACAATGGGCGCCGAGAATGGTCTAACAAAGACTCACGACATGATGAAGAAGAATATCGAAGTGTTCGAAACGGAAGTGCCTAAACCCAAGGGTGAGTTTTATAATTTTTCAATCTAATACGAACTATCTAGGAAATTGGCAATCCATTATTTTCGGCCAGTGGAAAATTTCTGGAAAAATTAATGGCCGCAGAATTCGGTTGGAGGAATTTATTTTTCGGGTTTTGGAAGGGATGAGATTTGGCCATTTGTTTTGAATTTTAATACGCAATAATGGTAATTATTAGAAGCACTAATTTGAAAGTCAACACCAACCTGTTGACGCCTCTGACGTCATAACCTGCGAAAGCCTTTCTCCAATGACCCATCGTGGTATCCCAACTGGAAATGGTAATTATCTTTATCCCGGGAATTGTCACACTTAAATGATTTTACCTTACCTCAAGTCCTCCGTGAAAGACCATTCGTATTATTAGAATGAGAATGTTAACTCGGTATTCATGGAATATAATCGATAGATTACCAATTGATATTGATTAATCGATCTAGATTTGTTCTGCGGCTCTTGTTATTTTTTCAAATCGTGTGAAAAATATGGAAATGATGGAATCAGTTAAACTGATAGTTGAATTCTTGTTCAATATTTCAAAAGAATTATGAAATTCTCCAATTAACCACTTTTAATTACCACTTTATTCAATATTCATTTGTCGATATATAATTTTCACAACGAGTCACAAAATTTAAACTTTCATTGAAAAATTGGTGATTATTGTTTTTCAACTCAAAAAATCATCTCATCTTAAATTATCAAAATGTGAAGTTGTCCCTTATTCCTCTTAAAATTTGAGAAATTAATAAACAATATTGGATGACAAGAAATGAAAAAATGTAATGTCTTGAATTTGACATATGATGATAATATTTTTTATGTTGAATAAAAAATCAAATTTTGTAACAAGTGTGGAAGAAGTGAAGAGTTCTGAGAATTTCAAGTGGAAATTTCCAAAGCGTCGGGTTTATTTTTTCTTTCTGCAAAAATTGACATTGGGCCCACGCGGAACAGGTGATTCAGCACCATTGGCTCACGTGCCACGCACGTGCGAACTAATTACACCTGTGATACACTTATACACCAGATAAATCCGTATTTGATTAAATACCTTCGAGTTTATCCTATAATTTAAGCAATTAGCTGATCAAAAAGTAAGTAAAATAGAAATTTTCCCCCGAGAATTAGGCAATGAGCATTTGAAATTAATTTATAAATTTTAGCAGGAAACTGTTAATACATATTAATCTATAAAACTTTGTTAATTACCTTAGGTCGTAATAATATGCATCACTTAAATATTTCAGAGCAGTATTACCCGATGGTTTAAAATGTTCGGATGAAAAACTGGTGCTCAGTATTTTTTTATGAATTTTGATGATTTGAATGATTGATTGGATGCTCTCGCGAATATTCTTTGCCAAATGTCACACCTGTGGCTCTCGTAATCCAGATGTTCCGGAACTGGAGGCATAAATGTCATCAAATGACGTCGGGATTTTGTTGAGATGAATTACGTCATTCGATTCATTTATCGAACGATAAATTCAGGCTCAAGCTATTGCACCATTATTTCCGCTTAGGATGACATGTACTTGATGCTTCGAGATATTTATGCTCGAGGGACGATGGATAAACAGCGCGTTATTCTGCATGGAGACAAATATTCGGTTGAAATTAAGGGACATCATTCGGATAATTAGCAATCATGCGTCATTATCCAGACATTTTTGCAGGGACAGAAGAGAATAAATTAATTAATTCCTCAAATTCTCTAAATGAAGCGCGAAATTATCACAATTTTTTGAAGATTTAATCGATTTATTTCCGCCAATTCATCGTGAAAAGAATTGATTAAAAATATGAATGTTGCAATAACTGTATAAGAACCTCAAAAGATAAAAAATATAATAAGGCAGTTGGCAATGATAATTAAGAATGTGAGGAATTCAATGGTTTTTTTTTTGAGATTTTTCAGATTAGATTGAGTCTATATCTGACCTGATTATTTCCATCCAAAATAATGATTATAAGGTGGACAACCTGACGAGTAGTGATTTAAAGTAATAATCCATGTTCCGACTCTATCGCGTATTCGAAAGTCTTATCGTAAAATTATGCCGCTATATTTATTCCGTTTTTAACGCATCTAATCACCAGGTATGGAAATAGACCCGCGAAAACATTCCTCAGACGATGTATTCTGAAGCTGATCCCAACGCAAATTAGTCAGGCTCACGATGGATTGGTTTATCAAAGATAGGAGACAAGGCCAAGGGGGCGGATGTTTTTTATGATGAAAAAAATACCTTAATTGCATTTAACCTTGAATGATTCTCGAAGATTTTCGATAATCCCAACTCTCTGACGATCCATCATCAATAATTGTAAAAATATCTCCAAACTCTAATAAATTCCGAAAATGGTCAATACCATTTGAATTTCAAGAATTAAATTGTATAAATTAATGAAATTACCTTCGATAGATTAAAATCAAATTAATTTGCCATTTCCTGAGATTTTGGTTTGCAAATGTAGGAAGTAATATTTTAATTATCTTTTCATATAACTTATATTTAGTTTGAATTAAATATTTAGTTTATTAGTATTTTTGTTCTAGCTGTATTCTGTTTCTTTTTCATAATAGATTCAATTGATTTAATGAACAAATACAAGGAACTTTAGCTGAGGAAACTTTAGCTGAAAAATTAACAGATGATGGAGGAATTGCATTTGCATTCCCTGAAAGTCAATTCCATAACACAACATTGGAAGTTATCCTGCACCGGTCAATTGAATATCAATAAACTGCCACCAGTGGTTGAGTCGTTAACGTTATTGAACTTAAAACCGCAGATCAATTTCCGTACACGCCTGTACCGAGAATTGATTATGTTAAGGCCAACCCAGATGCTCAAGGTCGACGGAAACATTGGAGCGAAGCGAAAAAAAAGGAATAGGGTAAAATGGGTAACCGGAATTTTTTTTTGAGCCAAAATTTGCAATCAATCGGTCAATTGAACTGTTATTTACAGGTAATCTTTCTATGACTCTTGCATTATTGTTACATGATTGAATTGTGCCCGCGTAATTACGATTCCGATTGTTAATAGGTCATGACTACTAAATTTTATGCCATTTTTGGTGACACTATATTATGTAATTGGCATATTTCATTGAAAGAGCTGTAAAAATGTCATAAGCGAAATTTCTTGATAGTTTCTTAATTTTATATCTGTTTAGAGACATAATTTCGAGGGATTGTCATATTTTTTTTTGTAATTACTTTAGAGAGAATGGCGAGTACAAATTGCGGAATTAGTAATTATTCTTAATTGAAATTATTAATTACCCTTTTTACCACCTTTAGTCAGGAATGATTATCTAGAACTTATGTGCATTTTCAAATAAAAAATCAAGATGATGAAAGTAGGAGAAAATTCAACAAACTTTCAAGATGTTATCAATTTATACATTACAGATCGTCCAATCTGAAGGAAAATTCTCAAATGTGTTTTTTTTTTAATTATTAAGGTATTGAATTTTCAAGAGGAACAGGGACTTTCATGAATAATTTAATCCCAAAGTAAATAAGTCACCAGACCATCAAGAATTCAGTTGCACTGAAAATTAAAGAAATTTCTAACAGTGTAATTGTATCGTAACATCTCAAGTGTCATGAAAACTCGTTTTACAACTGAATTTGAACGTCTACCGTCATAAACAGCGACAACTGTTATTGACTCACTTGGAGATCGTTAAATGAATACCAATTTTGTTTAAACTTCCTCTCCACCATTCACAATTTTATTAACACAACTTACATTTATTGCGTGAACAGTTCCTTGAAATATGTAGATCACGTGAACGTCCATGAAATGCTGCGGAAGTCTCAATGGTTCTTCTTATTTCCCGTTGTCCTGATGATCTTGACTCAGAATTTCAATTCAGGGAGCGACAAAGTCCCTGAACACCTGTCCATACCAATGAACATCTTTTTATTCTCAGTGCATTCAACTCTTCACATCACTTTCTAACTTGTTTTTTTCGGTGACGTTTTTGCGTCGTGAATTATGTTATTGTTTATCGGGCAAATAATATTTTACCTGTCAAGAAAATTCATGGTGGAACGTGAAAGTAAAGGAAGTAGGAAGGAAATTGTGAGACCCGAGGAAAAATTTGCAGTAAAATTTACCAGAGGTTTCGTAATCCTCCTGCTCTGAAATTTTTACCCTCACGCCATTTTACTACAAAAAACTTGATATTATTGGGGAATTGACACTGGAAATAATGTAATTTGCATTGGACTCATCTGTTTGTTAATACAATATCATTATACAATTTTTTTAATTCAAAACTTGAAAATTTTCTTCAATTTTTCAAGACGAACTGTCGGAACTTTCACGATCTTATTCCCCTGGAATTCTAGGGAACTTGAAACTTGAATCAATGAAATAATAATAATATTATAAATAATGATGAAAAATAGATACAACAATTCTTTTTTCAATTTAATTGTTCTGCTAAAATCACAAGAATCACTGGGCAATTTGAGAAAAATTGAAAATTTCTATAAAAATTCCAGGATTTCCTGAATTTTTGGAAGTCTTGTTATGACATGCGTCAAATGTTGAAGATCATCATTTCCTATGAAATTGCGGATTTATGCAAATGAACTTCCTCATACCACAGGGTTTTTTTTATTAAATATTTTTCCTCTAGCCTAGCACTTAGTTTATTAATCGATTCCAGAATATCAATAAATTTCCCTGTACAGGATAATTCCCAGAAGGTTGAAAGTTCAAAGCGGAGTAAGTGTTTCGAAGACATAACCAGATGCAATAAAATAAACGTCCGATGAAATGATGTCCAGAGCATGAAATTATCGCAATAATGTACTAGTGTAATAACATGGAGAAAACGAGTTATTGCAATTATCCAAAGGCACACGGTTATCCTCGATAGATTATCATCACGTCATTGTCAGACTCATTACTCGAAGATCATGAAGATCATGAAGACCCTCGAGTGATTTTTCCC